TCCAAGCAAGCCTGATATAGTATTTGATAGCTTCTGTCCTCAAGGAGCATACAGTTTAACTCAGAAAATCAGCTTCTTAAGTGGCTTCTACCACTGTCCAGCTTTTAGGTCACTTTAATCAGTTTTATTAATGCTTAGCTAGAAACGATTCAGAGTGCTTTCCTGATTAAGAAGCTCTGGCATACTATGGCAGAGAACCACCAAAGGTTGGAGCTGATGGAGACTCCTTAATCTAATAACCCCTCTCCGAATTCTACAGATAACTAAACAGGTTTCGAGCAAGAGACCCAAAGTAACTTGCCCAAAGGCCACAAAGACCTGCACTCCACATGTCCTGACTCCCAGTTCAGTGTGCTTTACAACATACCATACGGGACACTCAGTGTGACACCTCAGTTTTAGAGCAGGTCACCATAATAAGCACACATACTTTGTGTTTGGACACTGATGAGGACTGTCAAACTCACAAATACAAATAAGTACTGATGTACAAACAATTATTAGAAAGTGTCAAATGGCCCTTATTTGACTAGGGGATGGTATTGAGGAGACCTGTTCAAAGTCCCAAAGGGAGTAGCCAGTCACAGTTCTATGGGGAAACACTCCAACTATCAACTTCAACACCCTTTCCCTGACATCTGAGAGAATCCATTTTCCAGGTGATATTGTAACCCCAAAATATCTTTCCCAGACATCTGAGAGAATCCATTTTCCAGGTAGTACTGTAACCCCCCCCCAAATATCTTAAGAGTCCAGAGCAGCCATAGTTCCCTTCAAAGCACCAAGATTAGAAAAACTCCTCCTTTATGAGCATGGATTTAGGGCTCTCTCCCAAGGAAACATTTGGGGAACATCCCAAACCTCAGTCAACCACAAAATAAGGTCACCAGAGGAGGAAGGGAAGAGTCCTCAATTCAGCAGTAGTTACACCTACAACAATGTTTCCTGAATGGTGTTCCATAGAACCCTGCTATTCTGTACTACATGAATAGAAGTTCCATGAAAAAATATCCATGCTAATTGTTTTGTCCTACAATTTATTTCTTAAAGTATTTTATGTGGCAAATTTTGAGCACAAAACAGATTTAAATTTCATCCACCATGAATTCCATGACAGATGAAATTTCCATGGCTAGCTACCTTCTTATCCTGGGTTTTTTACCCCCTATACCTCCAAACTTCCCTAAGATTTATGGATACTATTGATATACTTTGAGCCCAAGTGTTTCCAGGGTACATTTGTGTTTAAACTCTGTCCTAAGGGTTGGCTGGCAGCTTCTGGGGCGAAGGCTGCCGCAAGCCTGAAGCTATTTTTTAAAGTTATAAAGTGACTTATGATTCCTTTGAATCATTAAATTGTGCCCAAATTTCACGCCAAGTCAACAGCCAAAGAGTCCTTCAATGTTACACGGCTTCTCATGATATTGCTAAACTAGGTTCACGGCAATCACCCCCTTTAAACAGAAAAGGCCTTGTAGCAGATTTGAGAAGGAAGAGAACAAAATTGGTGCTCTGATATTTCCCAGCCTCACTCAGATCACACTTGCCCTATTACCTGTGACAACACATGGGCGAGGGGATCACAGATTAGGGCAGAGGTCCCCAACAGGTCAACTGGCAAACCTGACTTGGTCAATCTTGAGCTGACGAGCTAACAAGACTTCTCTAAGGTTTGAAAGGGGTGGGGGCAGGGAAAGGAGAGAAGAAAAGAAAAATGACTTTAAAAAATGCCAATATGGTCCTCTTCCCACCTGACTAGGGATAAGGAGGCTAAAAGCTGTACTCCACAGGGTCAAAAAAATATCCCCAAGAAGGAAGTCTTACACTTTTGATCACTTGGGGTACTCAACCTTTCCCACATCACACTGAAAATAAATGGATCCTTGTTATTAGGCTATGACCTAGCAAAGGGAGTGAACAGGGCCCAGCCTCAGCAAGTAGAAATTCTTCTGGTTGGAGCCTACACAGAATGCCAGGGACTGAGGAAGGAAAAGAAAGTATAATGAACCACAGAATGGCATTAGGCCTAAATCCAGTGAACATATTTACTGGCAACTGGTGTGAGAAGACTTAGCTTCTCCAGTCCAAGGTGAAAAGCTCAATGTCCACAACAGCAATCTTCAGCCAGTTTTCAGAGCCTCTGAGTCACTCCAGTATTGACACTCTGGATAGCAAGTAAACCTCAGGTGGATGGATCAGGGGGCATGAAGTTAGCTTATGCACATACAATAGATACATAAATACATAAACACATATATACACCAGTAGAAACAGCCACATCTGTCTCCAAGTACAAGCATCCGTACTGTACCTCCTTCAAAATTTTCCCAAAGGGTGAAAACTATGGATATACAGGAATCCTCCAAATTTACCACCTCCTCTTACACTTCCTCAAACTCCTAATGTAATTACCACCCAATTTTATAAGAACGTACACAACACAGGGAGGGGTGCTAACCTTAGACACTAATCAGTGACTCAAAGAAATCATTGGGAACAATAAAACACAGTACAATAAATAAGGACCCTTTCTCTCTCCTTCCCTCAAACACACATACCAGCTCTAACATTCTGTGTTTTATGGTAACTGAACCACACAGACTCCCAATTATATGAGCCCAAGATATTTCAGTGGAACAGTATCAAGCAAAAAACATCCTCATGTCAGCTATCCATTTGCAATATCAAACTTAAAAAGGCAAAATTCTTTTTTGCAAATTTTATACATTAAGATGAGCAATTTCTAAGGTAGTCTCACACGGAAAGAAGTAGCTGTTACTGGCTGATAACTAATCTAATGGAGGAGCTGACACACACACAGCCCCCTCACCACCCCCACCCCCACATCTTCTCCTTCCCCAAAATGAACTTCTGGCTTTAACAAAAGAGTATCCAAATATCAACCACATTTTGGAATGCTTCTAAAGCCATTTTCAAAGATCCTGCCCTCCCCCATACCTACCACTGTTCTCACATGTGGCTACCCTGCTCTTTTCAGCAGAGTCTTCCTGTTTCCATCCTTAAGTTGTCTGTTCACAGGCAGACTGCAAACATCCCCAATGATTTTTTTTTAAACAGCTTCTGCTCTGGAGAAGGGAGGAGACAGGCTGTGTATATGACTTCAAGAACTGTCTGGCTGCCTGTTTGGACAATTCTTCTGTCAAGAATATTCACCAGATCCATGGCATTTTATTTCCATTTGGTGATAGGCAATGTGAATGATCCCCCAGCCATATATGCCAAGGGTCTTTTCCACTATGCACAGTAATATTAACTTCCTTCCTTCAGGCCTAGTATCCTGGTCACCCTCTCAGTTTGTTTATCTATCTGTTCTTTGCCGGTGGCGAGTGGCCTAGAAAAATGGCTACAAATTCACTATAAACCACTCCTATTGCCCCCCACCCATCCACATCAACAGTCACACTAACTTCATATATGCCCCAGCCTTTTCTTTGGTTATTTTTTAAAAGTTCCCCTTCTCCTTGGTTTCCCCTAACCCCTCCCCAACCTCCCCCAGGTTGAATCCTTTGTACTTTATAAGCCTCTCTCTCATCTGAGAGTTGAGCAGATGGATTTTGTCCATGAGCTGGGGAGCACTCTGGGAAAGGGAAATGGAGACTAACAGAGGCCACCCACAGTGAAGGTGGGGGTGGGGAAGAAGCCCACTGGGAAGTAGTTGGGGGTGGGGGGTTGTAGGTTTGGCCATCATCAGCATCATCTTAGTTTTCCAAAGTAAGGCACAACCTCTACACCAAAAGGACAAACCTGAAAGGGGGAGTATGAGGGAGGTGAGAAGGTAAGGGGGTGGGACAGCGGTATGAAAACATGTCCCTCAAAGAACTATAAAAAGTATCTAGACTCCAAATCCCACCAGCTTTAAGCTTTGAGAAAGGAGAAAAGGAGAAGGGTGTGGGAAACTATGGGAAAAACCTCCCTTCCCGAAGTGGGGGAAGGGCACAATACTATCCAGACAGGGCTCTAAATCTCCGGTCTGAAAGGGTGGAGTGGGGTAGGGGTGAGACAGGAAAACCTCACCCCTCCAAGACCCCTCTCTCACACCAACTGAAGAAAGGGTACAAGGTCTGCAGACACCAAGCCCTAACAGCCCAGACCCCTGCAAGGAGGGGAAGAGAGTGGGGGTGGGGATGTGTGTCAGACAGAAGAGAGAAAATAGGAAAACCACACCAAAAACCTACCAGCTTGGGCCCCTGCAAAAAAAGAAGTGAGTGTGAGTGTGAGAGTGTGTGTGTGTGTGTGTGTGTGTGTGTGTAAGAGATGGGTGTGTGGGTGACAGAGACAACACACACACACACCCCGCATAAACCTCTCTTGGCCCTCCCTTCTAGAGAGGGGGGAAGGGGGGGGACAAAGTGCCCAGCCGGGTTAACTGCTTCCAAGGAGCACCCCCTACACCTGGGGAGACCTCTCAACCTCAGTTTAAGGGTTTCCTGAAAACAAAGACAAGGGGAGGAGATTGCTGAGGAGGAAAGAAGAGTAGAGTGGAGAAAACGGGGTGCCTAAGTAGGGAGTCTGGGAAAGGCAGTCTCAGAGAAGGGAGAGGGGCTTCAGAAGCGGGCAAGGGTCAGGGAGGCGGGAGGGGGGAACTCAGCAGGAAATCTGGGAAAGGGAAGGGGAGGTTTCGGGTGGGGGGGGAGGGTCCAAGGAGATGAAACTCTGCGGGGAGTCTGGGAAGGAGGAGGGGGAGTCTCAGCAAAAGGAGGGGTCTCAACGGGGGGGGTCAGGGAAAGGGGAGGGGGAACAGGGAGTGTGGGAAAAAGGAGGGGTCTCAGAAAAGGGTGGGGGTCAGGGAAGGAGGAGGGGAACAGGGAGCTGGGAAAGGGGACGGGGGGGTTACGGAAGGGGGAGGGGGGTCTGAGTAGGATCTCAGAGAAAATACGTGTCTCGCCTCCCTTTCATCAATCCGTGGACTGCGGGCGGCAGCCGAGCCAAGGCCAGGACCAGGGCCAGGGTCGCCCCCGCCCCCTGCCCAGGGGTTTTACCTCAGGGTCCGGGCGATCACCAGTGGGGCCCCGCAGCCCCCACCCCCGCCGCTGCCGCCGCCCTCCTCCTCATAGCTGGGGTAGGGGGCCGCCACCTCCGCCGCCGCCGTTACCGACGCTCCTCCTCCTCTTCCTTAGCGTCTGCTTGCTCGGCCCGACCCGGCCTGTGGTCTCTTTAAGCCTCCGTCGCCGCCGCCGCCGCCTCTTCCTCCCCGCCGGCTCCGACTCAGGCTCCGGCTCCGGCTCCCCCTTCCCCGCCCGCCGCGGCGGCCCGGAGCCCGCCCCGCAGCAGCCAGTATGGGCAAAGAGACGCCTCCACGTACGCCGCCAGCGTAAGGGCAGCGCCGGCGGGCGGAGGCAGGGAGAGGCTGCTACGCCACGCTCTTGGCGCAGACGTCTTTCGGGGATGCCGGTGGCGAGGGGGGAGGGGCAGCTGCTACGCCACGCTCTCGGCGCAGTCGCCTTTCGGGAAAGCGGGGGGGGGTGGGGGGAGGAGGAGGCCGCTACGCCGCGTTCTTGGCGCAGCCGCCTTTCGGGGATGCCGAAGTGGGAGGAGGAGGAGGACGACGACAACTACGACGGGAGGGGGGAGCGGAGGAGGAAGAGAAGGAGGAAATGTGCGCAGGCGGCAGGCCCGCCCCACGCAGCCTGCCCGCGCAAATGGCGCAGGAAGTGTTCGAGAATGAGAGACTGGGCGGGATAGGCAAGGGGGAAGCGCGGAGGCGGCGGAGACGCGGCTTTGAGGGAAGCCGAAAGGGCTGCCGTTTCACGACAACGACCGCGCTTTCCGGCCGATGGAAAGGTGACGTCCGCAGTCGTCTCCCGCCCACCGTCCTCGCCAATCGCTAGTGGATAGACACTGAGCAAGCCAAGGAAGGGGAGGGGGGCTTGGATCCTCGGATCTTGGCGCTTCCCCCTACCCCACCCCACCCTGGCGTTTCCATGCTGCCGCGGAGGCGGGTTGCCATGACGCCGCCCGCGCCGTCGTGGGCATTGCGTCACAATCTCGCCATTTTACGTCAATAGCGTGAGCCACGGCGAGGCGCCGCCCTCCCTCCTGGGGCGGATGTCGCGACTGTTCCGGCTCCCTGCGGCGACTAGGCGATAGAAGGGTGGGGCACGGAGGAAAGGGCGAGGAGCTGTCCGTGACCTGGAGAAAAGCCTTCCTGTGGAGTGCCTGGCTGTATGACTCTGGTCTAGTCACTACCCTTTCTGGGCCTCAGTTTCCTCATTTGTAAAATGAGGGGGTTGGGCTCCAAGACCCACTTTTAAATAAATCCTAGGAATCTTATGAGAGTCTGAGGCACTCAAAGAATCTCACAGACTGCCGGGGCTGGGAATAACCTCAGAGACGACAGAAGTCTAACATCCCTGTAGTAACAGAACGGAACTTGGGCCCAGAGAGGTGACTAAGGGTCACCTGGTAAGCAAATGTGCGAGCTCGCATTCCAAACCAGGCTCCGCTCCAGATCCAGGGCGGGTAACTTTGGATCACATGACCACGGTTTCCAAGAATCCCCCAAACTGAAAGAGGACCCCAGTAGATACCAGTCTCAACCCCTAACAAAATAGAAATCTCTGCACCAAATCCAAGGAGGTGTCCGGACTTTTCTACTTGAACACTTCCAGCAATGGGGACATTTGATGCTGGACAGCTGTCATTGTTAGGAAATTTTTTTTTTAAGTCAAGCCAAAAATCTGACTGTGTAACTTCCACCACTGCTCCTAGTTATAATAATAACTCACACTTCACATCTCTTATGGACTATTGCTCTAGTCTGCTGGTTGGCCTCCCTGTTTCAAATCTCTTCCCACTCTAGTCCATCCATCTGGAATCATCTGTCAAAGTGATCTTCCTAAAGTACAAGTCTGACCATGTTACCTCCAGTGAGTCCCTATATCACTTGTCCAAGATCAAGGATTACAATCCTATTTGACATTCAAAGTCCTTCAAAACCTGGCCCCTCCTACCTTTCCTGTCTTCTTACACCTTGCAACTTCCATCCCCACCCACACATACTCCTGTGTCTCGTGCCACTGGCCTCCTTGCTGTTCCTTGTCTTAAGATTCATCTCTCACCTTTGGGCATTTTTAGTGGATGTCCCCCATGCCTGGAACTCTTTTCCTCTTCATCTGTATCTTGGCTTCCCTCAAAACACAGCTAAAATCCCACCTTCTGCAAGAAGTCTTCCCCTTCTTTCAGTCCTCTGTGATCTTTTTTTTTTTCCCCATTAAACAGTGGGGTTAAGTGACTTGCCCAGGATCACATAGCTAGTGCCCCTCAAGTGTCTGAGACTGGATCTGAACTCAGGTCCTCCTGACTCCAGGGCCAGTGCTCTATCCACTGCACACCACCTAGCTGCCCACAGTCCTCCTTAATCTTAAAGCGCCTTCCCTCTGCGATTATTCTCAATTTATCCTGTACATCTGTTGTTGGTACGTAGTATTTGCTTGTTGTCTCCCTCATTAGACTGAGATCATTGAGAGCAGGGACTGTTTCTTGCCTATTTTTTTGTATCCACACCCCATACTACAGTGCCTGGCACACAGCAAGTGCTGAATAAATGCTTGTTGATTTGACGTGTTATGTTTTAAAGTTCACAAGTCTCCTCACAACCATCAAAGTGGCAAAGATAACAAAAGTCAGAAATAACTGATGAACTTCAAGAAGACTGACATATCAATGTACTGTTGGTAGAACTGCAAATTGAAAATTTGTGGAAAAGTTTGAAAATACGCAAAAATGATCACTTTCATACCCTTTCATCCAATGATCCCATTAGTGGGCATATGCCCCAAGGAAATCGAAGACAGAAAAATAAGGTCCCATATGCCAAAATAAGGGTACTTTTAAGGGGCAGCTAGGTGTCCCAGTGGATAAAGTACCAGCCCTGGATTCAGGAGGACCTGAGTTCAAATGCGGCCTCAGACACATAACACTTACTAGCTGTGTGGCCCTGGGCAAGTCACTTAACCCCATCACCTAGCCAAAAAAAAAGGGGGGGGTACTTTTATGGTAGCAAAAAATAATAACATTTCAATTCCCCCTCCGGTACAATCGTTCAGTAGTCTCTCCTTCTCTGAGGTTCACTCTGTCCAAATTTGTCACTCAGTCTAGATGCTGGTGGCTAATACCTAACAGAAAATTCTTCCATTCTTGATCAGTTTACTACTTGCTTTATAGTATCCCTCTCTAACTGAAATACTGCCCTAATACTAGGAGTCTTTAGTATATATGTTGATGGTCATTCCCTACAATCCATTTACACTGGTCCATTTAAAGTTGCTCAAACATAATAATCCATCTCCTACCTTTGCATTGGCTGTCCCCTATGCCTGGAATGCTGTGTTCCTTCACCTCTACTTTGTGGTTTTATCTTCCTTAAAGATGCAGGTCAAAACCTGCCTTCTGCAGGCAGCCTTTCCTAGTTCTCTTAGTTTCTAATGTCTTCCCTCCATTTCAGATCGACTTCCATCTTGTAAATATTTTGTGTGTATCTAACAATTTACATGTTGAGCTCCCCCCTCAGAGCATGTGCAGAGTGTGATGACCTGTAGGGGAAGGGGCATTACTCCAATTCAGAGCATGGGCAGATATCCCATGACTGTTTCCTGACAATTTACTGCATAGAGAAGAAAAGCCTTTTAACATCTCAGTTAGATGAGTAGTGAGCTGGCATAAACCTAGCAGGAATCTTGTGAGCTCTGAAAGATTGGAGGAAACACCAGAGATCAGGTGGTGGGAATCCATGGCCCAGACAGTCATAGCTACGATAGCCAAGGCAAACAAGCCAGAGCAGCCTCAAGGCACTGTGGCCTGTGAGAGAATTGAGGGGATTAGGGCAGCAAGTGGTTAATTGTGAGACTTGAATAAACCCCAGTGACTCCATCTTGTGACTCAATTCTGGAGCTAGCTCAGTTCCCTTTCTATTCAATTATGGGTCTAGTCCCATTTCTGTCTTGTGAGAAAATGTTATTCAATTGTGGGAATTGGGAGAAAACCTTATTGTATTGTTTGAACCTAGCCCTGTGTGGTTGGGAAGCTGGAGCACCCATACCTGCTGTTTAGAGACCCTTAACTAAGGACCTCATGGATACCCTCTTCTCTCTGCATTTTCAAGGATGTGGTCTCTCTTGGTTCTCCTCCCACCTAACTGTTCTTTCTTAGTCTTCTTTGCTCATTCATTGTTCATATCATGGCCATTTACTGTAGATGTACCCCCAGGCTCCGTCTGCCTAGTTCTCTTTTATATCTATCTCACTTCATGACATCATCAGCACCATGGGTTCCATTTTTATGCTGATGACTCCCAAATTCATCCCTAACCTTTCTTATCAGCGGCTCCAACTGCTTATTGGATTTCCACGTGGATGTCCTTGGAGGTTATCTCAAATTCAGAGTCCCAAGCAGAATTCATTATCTTTCCACTCAAATCAAGCCCTCTTAAAGCTTCTCTGTTATTGTCCAGAGCACCATCTTTCCAGTGACCCTGCTTAATTAACAACCACAGCCTCACCTTCTGCTCCTCGCTCTCCCTCACCTCGCAGATCCAGGTGCCAGATCTGGTTATTCCTACCATCACATCACGGCATCTTTCACATGCCTCCCTTCCTGTCCATTCATGAAGTACCACCCCAGCTCAGGATCTCATCACCTCAACACCTGGAGATCAGTATGGAAGACAACATCTCCTACTTGATCTCCCTAGTTCCAGCTTCCACATTCTAATACATTCTCATTTCCTGAAGTGGAGGTCTGACTCTTCCACCTCTAAACTCAATAAATTCCAATGGCTCCATATTAACCAGCAGAATCAAATATAATATCCTTCGTTTTGGCATTTAAATAACCCCCTGACCTCTTCTTGCCCTTCCAGTCTTTGTATACATTTGCTCTTCCAGACTGGTCTACTTTCTATTCTCCACAGAGAACATTCTAGTCGCCATACCTTCATGCTGCCTGTCCCCTATGCCTGGGATGTTCTCCCTCCCTATCTCTACCTTTCAAAATCCCCATTTCCCTTTAACATTCAGCTCAAGTTCCATCTTTAATATGAAACCTTTCTTGATCCTACCTCTCCCCTCCCCCCGGTTCCTCGAGTACTCCCTCCAAAAACTACCGTGTTTTCATTTTGTATACATTATGCATATGCTGAACGTTAGGGTAGGGGAAAATTTGGTTCACCCTTCTCCATCCCCCCAT